CCCGGCTCCTGCGTGGCCCCGCCCCTGGGCGCCCGGCTCCTGCGTGGCCCCGCCCCTGGGCGCCCGGCAGCCACGCAACGTTGGGGACCACTGTGCTAGAGACAGGATGGGGGAGGGGGCAATATCTGTTATTGGGTAAATATCTTTGTGAAAGGGACACCATTTTTCAGGTGTTAATGTAATAAAAGATTTCTCCTCTACTTCGCCTGTCTCATATCCTGGGACCAACAACAACAGTACTGCAAATAAATATGGAGTAAATGACAGCAGTAATAGGTTGCTTTCTCTCCTTGGACCAGCTACTAGAGGGGGATTAACACAAACTTTGCTTGTGAGTTTCACAGATCTTTGCTGACAGCAGAGTAATGGAGAGATGCTGGAATCTTGGGTTCCATTCCAGGTTCTGGAGTAGAATATTCTTTAGTGGTCAAAGACCTTTTAAGTTCTGTTTACTTCAACTCTGACCCCTCCTGTCTATATCCCCTCCAGCCTGTTTTTGTGCTAGCTCCTCATCCCACTCTCCTCCCTGGATCCTAGTCCTACTCCTGATCTCTCTGCCAAGCTAGACCATGTTTCCTCTCCCTTGGCTCATCCCTTTTCCAGTTTGTTTGTCCAGTTAGTCCCAGTCTTCACTCCATCCAGTCTCATTGCCCCGTCAATCTCCATCTCCCTGCATGACTTCTTGTCGAGTCTCTGTTTCATACTAACTCCTGGTCACGGTCATCTAGCTTTTCCCATTCTTTTCCCCACCTCCATCAAAGCTCCTTCTCCCAATCTCCTGTCCTCACAGCTCCTCATCTGATATGATTTATCTTCCCATCTGCAAGTGTCTTCTAGTCTACTACTACCCCAGTTTACTTTTTCCTGTTGCAGTCCAAGTCTTCCTCTCCATGCTCCTTGTCCTGGTCTATTGCCCCATATTGTTCTTCAGCCCTCTATATTTCAGTCAAGTTGCCTCCTCCTGCTTTTCTGCTGCATGGGCTACAGTAGGAGCATTGAGATCACAGGAGCGACATTGTCCTTGGTCTTAGTTCCCAGGCTGAGCACTGCATTGGCCCATAGCAACCTGGAGGAGCAATTGAGAGACAGTCATACTCAGCTCATACTACTCTTGGAGCATGCTTAACACAGATGGAATCCTTAACAATGTAGCTGCCAAAATCTAAAAGTGGAGCATATATGAACTTCTTTCCCCTGCTACAAGGCGTATAGCTTGGCCAAACCTAGGTGAATTTTCACAGGGTCAGCGAAAATCAAATTTCTAACAATAGGGCAACTCCCTTAGCAAAACATGAAGTTGTTAGAGCTTCTCAGGAAAAGATTGCAAGATTTTTTTTATGTGAATTTGGGCAAAATAATTTATTTTTCTCTAAATGTTTATATAAGAAACAGCTAAACTGTTTTTCTGAAATTCCAAAATTCAATCATAGGTAGACCCACAGTGTGGTAAACTGCAGTTCAAACAGTTTGGCAGAGTTATCAGAAATTGAAAACTGAGTCCTAATGGGAAGTGTTAAGAAACTTTAAGTGTAAGGAGGTGCTACCAGTTCTGCGTATTATAAAACATGATTCTTGTCAAATCCCGAGTCTTCCTAATTGTAATTAAAACCACAAGAATGGTCATGCTGGGTCAGATAAAAGATCTGTTTAACCCAGTATCCTGTTTTCTGACAGTGGCCAATGCCAGGTCCTCAGATGGAATGTACAGAGCAGGTAATCAAGTGATTAGAGCCCTGTGTAAATACAAATTTATGCCTATGGGTGTGGATATCTGCATTATAAATCTATATCTTCTGAACTGCAGGGCTCTCCTGGTAACCGCAGCGATGAAAGGAGCAGAACGTGGGGCTGCTTCTCTCACAAGCTAGTGCCCTGCACCAGCAGCTCCTCCAGTGTGGATGTATTATCCCTAGGCCTACCCACATCCATTCCACACAGATGTCTGTATCTCCTGTCCAGGGCTATGCTGTTGAGTCTGGTGCCCACCCCAGTGGGAGGGGTTGGAGTGGTGTAGCTGCTGTGTGGGAGCTGCTGACACAGAGTGCTGGCTCCTGGAAGCAGCAATTCCCAGGATCTGCTCCTTTTGCCACTGCAGTTCCTGAGAGAGCTCTGCAGTTCATAAGATACCGATTGATATCCACAGATATCTGTATCCATGGATATACATTTGTATCCGCGCAGGGTTCTACAAGTGATCCATCCCCTGTCACTCATTCCTAGGAAATAACTGAACTTCTCAACAAAACTTAATTATGAGTGTTTTTTAAAATAGTAACTATTGAGATCTATTCATAGTTTCCAGGATAGGAGTTATCCAAACATTTTTCTTTCAAAAGTGAATTTCCATATTACCATAATATGTGTATTGATATCACTGGAGAACAATGATTTCTATTGTTACCAAGAAAGGTATCCTGGGCAGGAGCAGTGCAAACTTTCTCCAACCTTTCCATTAATGTATTTCAATCCTGACCTGGAAGAGAGCAATTCAAGGAACCAGAGTATAGCCCATTTTCTATATCTGATTGTTGTTATCCATATTTGTTGAGACTACTGAGTTAATAATTTTTTCACCTATGAACTGGACTGTGATCATCAGCTCATTTCTCATAGACCATCACCTAGCTGTCAGATAGTAATGATATTTTGTCACTAGAAGCCTGAGGCTGTTTGAACTAATGATCAAAAAATAGAAGATTCCATTTCCTTGTACTGCTTTCTACTCTGAGCCATTCAGTCTCATAACATTTTGCTTTTTAATTGAAATCCAGTTGTATTTTTATTAAAAATATTGAAGTCTGTGATCTATATCACCATAAAAAGGTGAGAACACTATTTCACAGTACTCAAAAACTGAAAAAATGCCTGAAGTTGTAGCACCCAATTCATTATGAAATAGCTTAAGTCAGTGTTTCCCAATTTTATTTGGCTACAGAACCCTTTTAAACTCGAAATAATTTCATGGAATCCCTAATAACAGTCTTATATCTGGAGCTGAAAAAGTAGACCACAAATAAGTAAGGATAATAATAAACAAATGCGAAATAAGGTCATGAGATCAACATTTATTTTAATTGCACATATTTAAAAACAAAATGTTTTAAAATGTCTTTGCAATTCAGCAGGTACGAAATAACTATTAAATAATATTTTGTTGCATAGTACACACTGGGTATCTGGAGCATCTTTATTTCCATTGATTGTGAATCCAAATGACAAATAGTCCTCGGCATACCTGCATTTCTTATTACTTGGCTGTAATTTTTCATAATTAGCTTGAGCTGTCTTGGTATTTTCCTTGCTGGTTTCAGTAACAACAAGAGTGTTGGAAGTACTCGCTTTTTTCTTTAAAGTTCCTTCTTTTAGCCAATGACCCATGAGGAATTTTGGAATCAATAATTTAAATTATATGTGTAGATTCTATTAACTTCTTGTATTGTTAAAGTCACCCACGTGATCCACGCACCCTAACAGTGAGTACAGGAATTTCCAGTGTTATATAACACACGATTGCACCACTGATTGACTGCACATGCAGTGCTGAGTAATGAGTAGAATTTTCTTGCAGAACCCTTATTTTCACTTTGCAAAACCCTGGGGTTCCACGGAATACCATTTGGGAAACACTGGCTTAAGTTAATGCATGCATGCAATCTGAGAATAGCTTTTGTCCTTAATCACTATTTCCCCTTTGTTTAAAGTAAATGGTAAATCTACCCCAATGTGAAAAGATTGTCATTGACTCTTCATCTCCAAACAATTCCACCGTGGGATTTGTTTCATTATGTAAAAAATATGTTCAATATTGCACTAGAGGAGTATTTACAATTAAGGAAGTTAAGCATATGTGGAAATCTTAACAAGATCAAGGTCAAGGATGGTATATTTAGAACAGGCTCCAGAAATCTTTATTTACAAGGTACTTATAATGTAGAGGTTATGATAGTTACAGCTCACAACTGACCAATGATATGCTGGGTGTGTCAGCTATGGCATAGTATGTAGTTATGAATTGTCTATCTGTGCCAGAATTCTTTGTTATTGAGGGCATGAGAAATCCAGCAGAAAGAAGAAGGGTATGAGGAGGGATTGACAACAAAGTTGATCTAAATAGGATCTTTCTAGGTGAAAAGTCACTCACACACATATTTTAGACAGGTTGTTGAACTGAGTGGCCAGTGGGATATCAGTCAAGTATCTGGGAATATTCTGTGATGAACAGGTTTGTAAGCAGTAAAGAAAATAGAGGCTATTTGTAAGAGATAGAGAAGCTATATAAATGTTGATATTTAATGGCTGTATATTGTTTCTTGTGAAAATAACCTAATTATAAATTACTTTGCAGATCTCATTTTTATATAGCTATTGTACCTAACATAATAATTAAAAAGTTGTTGTTTTTTTTTTTAACAACAGAAGTTCAGAAACATTTTGGACAACAACAGGAATGTTCCCCCAGGAATTCATTATTAATTTTCATAAATGTGTAAAAATCAGCAAACTCACAATCCAGTGTTACTTAGGTAAGAATGCAATGTATTCATGAACTGTGTTAATTTTCTCAATAGTAGCACTTTCTTAACTAAAGAGTTTAAAAAATAATCCATAAGAATGTAACTAAACCAGCAAACTAGTGCTCCTTTGAGTCCAGTATGTTGCGTTGACCAATTGGGGAAGCAAGATATGCCAGAGAAGGATGAACATCTTTCCTAATATAAGGCTTTTGTGCATTATACGATTATGGTATGTTGAGGAGAATTATTTTTCCCAACTTGAGGTAGATATGCTTTGAAGCATGAGGAAGAATTGGCCTGATGATTTTAATCTAGGTAATATAACTTTATTGTACTAAACAACTTACCTTATAGAATCATAGAATTGTAGACTCATAGGATTGTAAAAAAACCTCAGGAGGTCATCAGGTCCAACACCCCTGTTAAAAGCAGGAGCAATCCTAACTAAAAGTCTCAGAGCCATGTTAGTCAGTAACTAAAAAAACTTCAAAAACAACACTGGTCCTGTAGTACCTTAGGGTATGTCTACACTACCCCCCTAGTTTGAACTAGGGGGGGTAATGTAGTCATACGGAGTTGCAAATGAAGCCCGGGATTTGAATTTCCCGGGCTTCATTTGCATAAAGCCGGCCGGCGCCATTTTTAAATGCCGGCTAGGTCGGACCCCGTGCTGCACGGCTACACGCGGCATGGACTTGCTAGTTCGGATTAGCTAGTTCCACGAGGCGTACAGCTAGTTCAGAGAGGAAGCCTAATCCGAACTAGCTAGTCCGTGCCGCGTGTTGCCGCGCGGCACGGGGTCCGACCTAGCCGACATTTAAAAATGGCGCCGGCCGGCTTTATGCAAATGAAGCCCAGGAAATTCAAATCCCGGGCTTCATTTGCAACTCCGTATGACTACATTACCCCCCCTAGTTCGAACTAGGGGGGTAGTGTAGACATACCCTTAGAGACTAACCAAAATATATAAATAGTATAATGAGCTTTTTTTTCCATCTGAAGAAGTAGGTTGTGCTCACGAAAACTCATGATACTATTAATATATTTCAATCCCAGCCAGGACTTTGTCAAGCTGGGACTTAAAACCCTCTAGGGATTGAGACCATTGCTCCTCATTCTGTCATCTGTCAACACTGAGAACAGCCTCTTTTCATCCTCTTTGGATCCCCCCCCCTTCAAGTAGTTGAAGGCTGCTATCAAATCCCCCCTCACTCTTCTCATCTGTAGACTAAATAAGCCCAAATCCCTCAGCTTCTCCTCGTAAGTCATGTGCTCCAGGCCCCTAATCATTTTGGTTACTGTCCACTGGACTCTCTTCAGTGTGTCCACATCCTTTCTGTAATGGAGGTCCCAGAATTGGACACACTACTCCACACGTGGCCTCAACAGTGCTGAATAAAAGGGAATAATCACTTCCCTAGATGTGTTGGCTGTGGCCCTACTGATGTATGCCAATATGCCATTAGCTTTCTAGGCTACAAGGGCACACTGTTGACTCATATCCAGCTTCTCATCCACTGTAATCCTGGTATCCTTTTAATCAGAAATGCTGCTTAGCGAGTAGGTCCCCAGCCTGTTGGGATTCTTCCATCTCAAGTGCAGGACTCTGCACTTGTTATTGTTGAACCTCATCAGATTTCTTTTGCCCCAGTCCTCCAATTTGTCTAGGTCGCTCTTGACCCTATCCCTAACCTCCAGTGTATCTATCTCTACACCTAGTTTAGTGTCGTCTATGAACTTCCTAGGGGTGCAATCCATCCCCTCATCCTGGTCATTAATAAAGATGTTGAACAAAACCAACCCCAAAACCAACCCTTGGGGCACTCTGCTTGAGACCGACCATAAACCAGATATCAAGCCTTTGATCACTACCCATTGAGCATGATGATCCAGCCAGCTTTCTATCCACCTTATAGTCCATTTATCCAATCCATACTTCTTTAAATTGCTTGCAAGAATACTCTGTGAGACCATATGAATTTGCTGAAATCAAGATATGTCACATCCACTGCTTTCCCCATATTCACAGAGCCAATTACCTTGTCTTAGAAGGCAGTCAGGTTGATCAGGCATGACTTGCCCATGGTAAATCCATGTTGACAATTTCTGATCACTTTCCTCTCTTCCAAGTGCTTCAAAATGTATTCCTTGAGGATTCCTCACCAGGATTTTTCCAGGGACTGAGGTGAGGCTGACTGGTCTGTAGTTCCCTGGATTTTCCTTCTGCCCTTTTTTAAAGATGGATGCTATGTTTTCCTTTTTCCAGTCATCCAGGACCTCCCCCATTCATCACAAGTTTTCAAAGATAATGGCCAAGGGCTCTGTAATTACATCATCTAACACCCTCAGCAACCTCGGATATATTGCATCCATCCCAATGGATTTCTGTATGCTCAGCTTTTCTAAAAAGTTCTTAATAACTTGATCTTTCTGTACTGAGGACTGCCCACCTCATTCCCTAACTATGTAGTAGTCTGGGAACTGATCTTGTCTATGAAAACAGAGGCAAAAAAAGCATTGAGTACTTCAGCTTTTTCCATATCATCTGTCACTAGGTTACCTCCCCATTCAGTAAGGCTGTGTCTAGACTGGCAAGTTTTTCCGCAAAATCAAATGATTTTGCAGAAAAACTTGCCAGCTGTCTACACTGGCCGCTTGAATTTCCGCAAGAACACTGATGATCTCATGTAAGATCATCAGTGTTCTTGTGGAAATACTGTGCTGCTCCCATTCCGGCAAAAGTCTTTTTCCGAAAGACTTTTGCACAAAAGGGCCAATGTAGACAGCACAGTAGTGTTTTCCGCAAAAAAGCCCCGATCTCAAAAATGGCGATCGGGGCTTTTTTGCGGAAAAATGCATCTAGAGTGGCCACGGATGCTTTTCCGCAAAAAGTGCTTTTGCGGAAAAGCATCCTGCCAATCTAGATGTGCTTTTCCAAAAATGCTTTTAACGGAAAACTTTTCTGTTAAAAGCATTTTTGGAAAATCATGCCAGTGTAGACGTAGCCTAAGGGTCTCACACTTTCCCTTACCACTTTATAATTGCTAACATGCCTATAGAAATCTTTTATATTACCTTTCACATCTCTTGCTAGCTGCAATTCCAGCTGTGCTTTGGCCTTCCTGATTACTTCTCTGCATGTTCAGGCAATGTATTTGTACTCTTCCCTAGTCATCTGTCCAAGTTTCCACTTCTTGTAAGCTTCCTTTTTGTGTTTAAGCTCACCAAAGGTTTCACTGTTAAGCCAAGCTGGTTGCCTACCATATTTACTTTTCTTACTGCACGTTGGGATGGTGTGTTCTTGTGCCTTCAGTAAGGCTTCTTTAAAATACAGCCAGATGTCCTGGACTCCTTTCCCCCTTATGTTAGTGTCCCTGAGAATCCTGAGGGAGTCAAAATCTGCTTTTCTGAAGTCCAGGGTCTGTATTTTGCTGCTCTCCTTTCTTCCTTTAGTCAGGATCCTGAACTTGACCATTCCGTGATCACTGCTGCCCAGGTTGCCACCCATATCTATTCCCTTACGAATTCCTCCCTGTTTGTGAGCATCAGGTCAAGCTTAGCATGATCCCTGGTTGGTTCCTTTAGCACTTGCACCAGAAAGATATCCATAACAGTCTCCAAAAACTTCCTGGATTGTCTGTGTCCTGCTCTGTTGGTCTCCCAGCAGATGTCAGGGTGATTGAAGTCCCCTATCTGAAGCAAGGCCTGTGATCTGGAAGCTTCTGTTAGTTGTCTGAAGAAAGTCTTGTCTACCTCATCTACCTGATCCCGTGGTCTATGACAGACACCCACCATGACATCACCCTTGTTGCTCCTGCCTCTAAACTTAACCAAAAAAAACCTCAACAGACTTTTTTCCCATGTTTTACTGGAGCTCTGAGCAGCCATACCTCTCTCTTACATACAGTGCAACTTCTTCCCCACCTGTCCTTCCTGAACAGTTTATGCCCTTCCATGACAGTGCTCCAATCATGTGAGTCATCCCACCAAGTCTTCATTATTTCCAATCAAATCATAGTTCTTTGACTATGCCAGGACTTCCAGTTCTTCCTACTTGTTTCCCAGGCCTCTTATATTCATGTACAAACATCTATGCTAACTAGCTGATTGACCTACTCTCTCAGGGTGCATCTGCACAGCTCCCTCACCTCGAAATAAGCTACTCAATTTGTGCTATGCAAAATGCGTAGCTTTTTTTGAGATTATTTCAAAATAAAGCATTATTTAGACAAAACCCTTAACCTTTGTGGAATGAGGGTTATAGGGATACTGGAATAGCGCGCCTGTTATTTTGAAATATATTTTGAATTAACAGGTGCACTTAAAGACGCAGAATAGCTATTTTGGGATACCAGAGGTAGACGTAGCCTCAGTATGAATCAGGGGTCCTCCTCTGTTGTACATTTCCTCTTGTGTTTCTTCCCAGTATCCTACTTCCCCACTTACGTCAGGACTTGTTAATGATGATAATAAATAATTTGCTTCAAATAATTCTGTAAATTAATTATATGTTTAATCCAAAAAGTATTTTCTCTTTATCTATTTTGAATGTATTAGGGATGTCAGTGGTTAACCAGTAAACATCACCCTTATCCAGTGATGCTCACTGGTTACTCAAGGTGATAATTACTAGTTATGGTTAACTGGTGGCCCTGCAAGAGCAGGCCCAGCCTGGCTGGAGCAGCCCGCCACACCACAGACAGGGGATGAAGGGTGCCCCAGCCTGCCACCCCTTCCCCCAAGTTTAAGTGGTTAACTAGTTAAACATAACATTTAACTGGTTAACTGATTAAATGGGATTTTACACCCCTAGAATGTGTTGCTTTTTAATTTCGTAGTATAAACTTCTATCTCCTTTGTTTATACATTTAAACCTCCGTACTCTGGATGTCCCTAATCCAGGAACACCTGTAGTACAGAGAAAGAAGCAGCTTTGCATGCAGCTGCTCCCCCTCCGCTCCACTCCAGTTTGGGGAACGGCAGCATGCAGTGCTGCGTCCCCTGAGACTTTTCTCAGCCACTCCCAAAATGGCCGTGTGTGTGGGGCGGGGTGTCTGGGAGCGGCAGAGAGTGCAGAGCCATGTGTGTCCCTGGGAGTGGGGCAGCAGGTGAGTGTTCCACCCCCTCACACCCTGTTTCCCAGGGTTACCAGATTAAAGAGGTTTAAGTGTGTTTTGTCAAATTTTTATAATAATGTGAAAAAAGATATAAAAGAGTAAGAGAAATATTGTGAGCTCAGGAGCTAGGAACTCAAGCTTTAGCTAATCTTGGGGAAATCACTTAAATAGTCTTCCATTTCCCCACTTGTAAAATGAGGATGATGATGAGATCACCTACCTTCCCAACAGGATACCATGAAACTTAACTAGCCAATGTTGGTAAAATTCTTTTAAGATGAAAAGTTGATGCATGATGTTAAGTACTGTTAATAATTAGTAAATCAGTAATATGAAAGTAGGTAAATTTCAGTGCTCATTCTATGCTGATTTCTTTTTAAATATATTTTAGTACGGAGTTTAAGGATTGAGAAAAGTTTATCTAAAGATCCAGTAGATTTTGAAGAATGTGTTGAAAAAGGTAAGTAACCAAATATGGAACCCCTCTGATTGGGTGGAAATGATGTTGGCCTTTATGTATTTGTTCATTCATTGTCTTAATATCGCCACACCTTAAGAAGAATAAAGTTTATAACAATTTTATAAAAGTTGTTTATTTTAGTTTATAAGATTTGTTTGGTATACTGGAAATGATTGTGATTCACTGTTTTTATTACTATTGACATCATCCATAAAAATTAATATTCTGTTAATGTTACCAAAGTGACATGCTAGAAATCCACATTAAAATTATATGTAAAAAAAAAAAAGTATGACTTGAAACAATGTAACATAGAACTTCTTTGTTAAGAGTCAAAATATTTTCCAGAACACAACAACTTATATTAGAATAATGTTAAATTGAGTACTGTTTTGTGTTCAGTAGGTATTTGAGGATAGGAGTATAGATTGATACCCCTTTTGTCTCAACCCCGAGTTTTGTAAATTTAAGTTTGTATTTGAAAGTTCATTATTTAAACCAGGGGTCTCCAAACTTTTCAGCCCGAGGGCCGCATTAACTATCAAACAGCAGTTCGGGGGCCGACTACACACTTGAGGTCCAAATAAAAAACAATCAAAACATGGATGTTGTTTTTAATTATTTATTTAATATTATTTTATTCAGTTATTATTTAATAACACATTGATACACTACACATGAACACCTGTATTAGTGTGAATGGTGAAATTGTTTCCTGGATGCCAAAATAGCAGACATTTCTGGCTTTAGAAATCACTGTTTGAAATTGGGGGTGGTGCTTGTCCTAGTCCTGCAGGAGGGGCTCCAGAACGGGGAAACTGCTGAGAACTCATTTCCACCTGCGCAATGTGATGAAAATTGTAAGCAACATAATCCTGGCAATATGTTCAGCCTAAGACACTCACACTTGAAGAGATGTGATCGCTCTCCTATCATGCAGGGAATGAGGTGACAATTTGTAACATAGCCCCATGGAACAAGGGGCATGCATTTTAATGGGAAAAGCTGGTTTGAAAGCAGACACGTTATCACTTGGTAAAGGAAGTTGGAAAGCAGTGCCCAACGCTCCCACAGACTGATACCCGGCAGGGCGGTGCTGCTCTGGGTTGTGGATGAGAGAGACCAGACGTGGAAGGGAGAGGGATGTTTCTTCAGGGCGCACTGCAGGGACCAGGGCAGCGCGCTAGGCACGGCACAGCGTCACCCAGAGGCTGTGCCACAGCAACCAGACCGCCTCCTGCAATGGGCACCAGCTCCTCAGCCCCGCCCCCGGAGAAGTAGCCCCTCGCTCCTAGCCCCTGAGAAACCACCGTCGGGTTTCCTCCCCTCCGTCCAGCCTCCCGCGATCCTCTGCTGCCGGGTCTGATCCGGAGCCCGCCTTCGAGACCCCCCTTTTTCGCCTGCCCGGCCAAGCGGCACACGGAGCCGTCCCTGACCTAGGCTACCTGCTGTCCCGTGTGCGCGCTGGGGCCTCGCGCAGCCGCCTGCGAATCCGTTTCTCCCGCTGACACCAATGCTCGGACTCAAGCTCAGGGATAATCTCGCCGGCACGCGGAAGAAGGCGGGGCCAGACAAAAAGGTCTCCACGGGCCGGATGAGAGGGCCTTGCGGGCCGCATCCGGCCCGCGGGCCGTAGTTTGGAGACCCCTGATTTAAACTATCAAGAAACACTGTTGTAAAAGTTGCATTAATTTTTACACGCTGGGCTTAATCCTGCAATCCCTGATGTATATGAGTAACCTTCCTTATGTGAGTGGTCCCATTGATTTCAGTGAGACTGCTCACATGCAATAAAGTTACTTTGTATATAAATGTTTACAGGATTGGGCTTTGTATTGTCTCCTTTGGCATCAAGTGAGGATGGTGGCATAATGAAAACTAGAGCAGTAAAAAGTTTAAAATTCATGTTTTTACAGAATTTGAGTCATATAGTTTTTGACATTTAACCAATCCTTGTTTAGAAACCCTTGTCTTATGCATTTTTTAACTTTAGCATGAGCTCTAAAATTAAATGTGTGTAGATATTTGCTAGATCAGAGCTTTAGCAAGTCCAAAAATGATACTAAAATACTGAAATTATGATGATGATCTGTTTAAACTGTGACTACATGTAAGAAAAATGGAAAGCATTTGATCGTGTGATAAGATTAAGTGTTGATGCCTGTATATTTGAACTATATTTAGTGTACTGAGGATGTTATGAAGAACTGTGAATAACTATGGCTATGTCTACACTACAGGTGTGTGCGGACAGGAAACAGGATTTTTTTGTGCAAAAACAGTCTATCGAAAGAAGCACGGTTCCCTGGTGGTCATTCTGTTAATGGCATTCAGAGCTTTTTTGCGAGAGAGCATACATGCAGTCTGGATTCTCTCTTTTGCATTTGCGATGCACTTTTGTAATGTGGATGCACTCTTGTGCAAGAAGTTTTTGCGGAAGATCTCTTCTGCAAAAAGCTTCTTGCGCAAGAAGCCTGCAGTGTAGACGTAGCATAAGTTGGATCTTGAGCTAAGTTTGGCTCTTTATGTCCTATTCAAAAAGGAATAGCTTCATTCCAATCTCAGTGTTATCACTCTTGTGACCTGAAGTTGGCCACTTAACCTCTCTCTCTCTGTTGTCCCAGCTATAAAATAGGGGTATTTGTTATTTCTGTATTTATTTGTATTGCCTCAATTCCATAAATGACAATTGTGAGGATTATTTTTGTATGGAACTTTGAAAATAGAAAGCACTATATAAGTGCTGAAAGTACTACTCATACATTTTATTTTATACTCAAAAATTAAAAGCATATTTGAGTAGTAAAATGCATCACAGTTTTTATGCCCCATAGGGGCACTTAAAAAGCCAGTTTAATTGTTTATATATTTAAATTAGAACATTACTAACATTGTTTTTATTCTTTAATCATCTTGTTAAATATTTTTGCATACAGTGTAGACTTACAATCCTTAACTTCCAGGAACCTTCAAGTCCAGTGGAAATTTATCACAGAATTGTAGAAATGTAAACTCATTGTTTGCTATAAAATTTATTTTCTAGATTTACAATACACAGAAGGGGCACTTCAAACAGAAGAATTTTCTGTGAGTATATTCAACATATAGTATTAGTGACACATGTAATAGTGGTGGATAGACTAGTTACAAATGCCTTCAGTCAACCCAACTTTTACATATTATTTTAGAGTTTAAATACATCCCTACGTCTTGGATATGTGCTTATATGTTATGTTATGGTATAAATATCTGTATAGCCAGATCTCCTAATTTTGCTTACTATCCATCTGAAGAAGTACAGTAATCTCTCTTGGCCCAGCTGTTGTCTTGAAAGCTTTGTGAGTTCCAGTGCTTTAAGGGAAACAGAAGGGCTATTTTGGATTCCTCTAATCAAAGGAAGTTCTGTAAACTGACATGTAGAAATGTCTTGATCCCTCTGCTATATATTAAATGTTAAACTTCTTTACAGAAGCCTGTTGAACATTTATCTTATTACAATAATGAAAATAAGTGCTTTGTCTCTTCTACAGCTTCCTGAATTCCAAGCTACCTACTTGCGATTCATCATCAAATCTGCCTTTGATCATTTTGTTTCAGTGCACACAGTGATGGCAGAAGGATTAGTAGATAATATTTAAGAACAAATTTAAAGAATTGCCTCAAAACTACTTTGCAATGATATTTGTAGTATAAAACATATGTATATTAATAAAACATTATATTTACATGGATTTTTAAAATCTGGATCTAGTATGTTTTCCCCCCGTCCCAGCAGTGTAATGTGTAATGCAGTACCAATTAGGAATGTCATCGTGTAGATGACTACACAATTAACCAATAAGCTTAGGCTTATCGATTAATCTTGTTGACTACATGAACTCTCCTCCTCTCAGAGACAGCAAGGGGTGGGGAGTGGGAGTTGGTGCCCATGAGGAGCTGGCTTTAAGCAGGCTCCCCATGAGCACTGGATCCACCTGCTCCTTCCCTCCATCTCCGCACTGCTGCCTTTGATAGAGAAGCAGCAGTGTGGAGGGTGACGGGGGTAGGCTGGAGCCAATATGCACAGGGAGCCAGTTTTTAAGCAGGCTGCAGATGCATGCTGGCTCTGCACCCACCTGTCCCCATTTTGCTACCTCCTCCAGAGGCAGTGGGAGAGGAAGGGGGAGCTGACTTAAAACCTGGTTCCCCCCAGCACTGACTCCGCGGTGCCACCTCCTCCCCCTGCGCTGCTGCCTCCATCAGAGGCAACAGCGTTGGGGGGAAGGGAAGAGTGAGGGTTGCTATGAAGCAATCTCTGTCCACACAGGGGTGGGGGGGAGAGGGTCTGAGCTACTCGTGGACAGAGAATGCTCCACATCCCACGGAGCAGCCTCTGTTCATGGGGAGCTCGGTTCCCCCGCAGACTGAGGCTGCTGCCATCCCGCACTACTGCCTCTGTATTAGAGATAGCAGTGCGGGGCAGCAGGCAGCCGGTCTATGCGGAGAACTGTTTTTTAAACTGGTTCCCCTTGCGGACTGCCTCCTCCTGCCATCCCATGCTGCTGCCAGCACGAGGTAGCAGGGGGCTCCCCGGGAGTGGGGCTGGAGCGCACTGGCTGCAGGCCCCGCCCCCAGGGACTATCGAATAGTTCATGTAACTGCATGAAATCTTAGCAGTTACCCAGTATTCAGTTATCTGATATCTAACATCCTAGTACCAGTGTAATTGATTAGTCTTTTGTACAGAACTTTGACGATATAAAGCACTCTATGGCTACGTCTACGGTAGGAGTTTTCTTGGCAAAAAATATGCTAATGAGGGACTCATTTGCATGAGGTGTGATCTCATTTGCATATTTTCTCGCAATCCGGTTTTGCACTGGGGTTTTTGCACAAAAACAAGCAGTGTGGATGTTTTCTTTTTGTGCAAAAACCCCTTTTCCTGCAAGATCGGTAAACCTCCTTTTTTGGGGCATAAGGATTTTGCGGGAAAGGGTTTTTGCACAAAAAGAAAATGTCCACACTGCTTGTTTTTGCGCAAAAACCCCAGCGCAAAAATGGATTGGCAGAAAATATGCAAATAAGATTGTGACTCATGCAAATGAGTTAGCATATTTTTTGCCAAGAAAACTCCTAGTGAAGACATAGCCTATAGTGCTGAAAATATTAATGTACATTTTAGTTCATACTTTAAAAATAGCATATTTGAATAGTATAATGCATCACAATTTTTTATGTCCCATAGGGACATTTAAAAAGCCAGTTTAATTGTATATATAAATTAGAACATTACTAAAATTGTTTGTATTCTTTAATCATCTTGTTAATCTCTATCCTTATTAGTGGTGGTAATACTTGTGTAGTTTTCCAAAGTAGAGTAAAAATGTTGAAGAACTGCTTTTCCTTAATCACTAACATTCAAGTATAATTGATTCCATTTATGAACTGCAATACGTTGAGATTAAAAGGCTATTTAAGATTCATTTCTAAGAATGCAGCAAGCAGTACACTTTCCCCTCCCTTCCTGGCAGAGGGGAACAGGAAGAAATGTTCCTGTACGAATCAGGGGGGAAGCTTCAGCCCCCACCCACTTCTCTTTAATGGGCACCTGGGGATGGGTGACAGTCCCAGATAAGGGGGCGGGCTGCCCCCAGCCAGCTCCTTTCACCTGCCTGGCGATTTTGTCTCTTTTCTGTATGGTTTTCTGAGAAGCAATCCCATTCCAGGCACATCCCATTTTCTTGGCACAACCAAACCCTTGCCTTGCTTTAAGTTATAAGAGGAAGCTGTATTCCAAATTTGTTGCTCCTAGCTCTTACCATTTGGGAAGAGTTCTTGAACAGACAGACTAATGGACACATTCTCTCAACTAGATTTTCCTCACAGAATAAATAAAAGTGTGAAATATTCAAACTTGAAGCCATTCCCCTAAAATAAGTTCTTCCAAAATTCATTGGTTTGTGGAACTTGTGATCAGCTGAAAACCCTATGTAAGAAGAGGGTGATGATACATAGGGTGATGATAACTTCTCTTCTCTTAAAATATTTAAATACCAAGCTGAAGCCACTTGAGATGGTTTGATATATTTTAATTGCTCCTATTCAGCTCATTGCCTCTATAAATATGTTCTCAAATCAGGTCACAGCTGCATGTGCTTTACGCTATGACTGTCATAAACAAATATTAATAGAACCAATGATGATGTACATTAATACAATTATTTCATTCACAAACCTGCTATAGTGTGTGCAAGTGAATATTTAGAAAAACCGTCTCTTTTTAAAAAAACAAGGATCGGTATGCAATAATTTGTTTTGAATTATTCCATCATTCATCCAAGCCATTTGAATAGCTTTCAACTACTAATATTTCTTTTAGATTTCAGTTTCAAAATTTGGTGTGACTAGTTATAAAACATTGTACCATTGCTATCTCTAGTATTGAACAGGATCTAAAACCACTGGTACCAAGATGCATTAATGGTAAAGTTTTGCTGATAAGGATAGGTTTCAAATCTCAAAGGCCTGGTCTACACTAAAGGGGAAGGTCGACGCAACTATATAAGTATGTAGCTGGACTCAATGTATTTCAAATCGTGTTTTTACACTGTCCACACAGCGGGAGGTCAGCAGAAGCAAACACTCCCATTGGCTTCCCTTGTTCCTCGTGAGGAGCAGGACTACCGGTGCTGATGGGAGCACCCTCTCAGTTCAAATTAGCAGGCCTTCATTAGACCCGCTAATTCGAACCCTAGAAGATTGACTGTGGCAGTGTTAATCTTCTGCATAATGTAGACATGTCCTAAGAGATTAATCTTGTAGTCTTTAAACAGGCAAAAAAGCTCCCATTAATCTCATGGGAATTTTACCTTCATCAGAACTGAGGGACTGGGCACCAAATGATAGGTGCTTCCAGTGGAATAAAATATTTTTTTCTTTCCACTCACTATTTCACAGTAATTACAAGAAATCCTGAGCTACTCAAAGCATAAGGAATATAGACACAGTTTATTTCTGTGATATATAATATGTTTTATATCAGATGCTACCTATACTATTAAGGATGAGCACATGAAAGCCATTACACATTTAGAGAAATAGCCATGATTTTTAGAGGCTAGCAATTTCACTATATGAAAAATTTTGGTCCAAAGGTGTATGAACAGGGTAGCAATGAATCTATAAAAACACTTTTGATCTTTGCACTTTTATTTTTTATTTCTACTTCTATTTCAGAAGGAGCAGGGCAGGGTGAAGGTAGGGTTCGGGGAGGCAAGCTCTCAGCCCTTCTGCTGAGGCCCTGCCTCCCAAGGAAGCCATGCTGCCTCCCTGTCCCCTCCCATCACAGGGAGATGAGGCAGCATGCCGCGCATGCGTGGCTTCCACCACCACAGGGAGGAGAGGTGGGCGGGCGGTGTTTAGCTCCATCCTCCCCAGCCCTGGAGCATGGGGAGGGTGGGTGGTGCGTGGCCTCAGCCTCTCCAGCCACAGAGCACAGGGAGGAGGGGTGCTGGGGGCAGCAAACTCTGCCCCTAGAACACCTACAGTAGGCATTCTGGGGACAAAGTGTGCGCAGGGCCAGGCTGGTGGTTTGAGAAGACAATGCCTTCCCCCACTTAGCATGCCGGCCACCCGTGTCTGTTTGGATTTACTTTTATTTCCAATGTAGTGACCTGTAGTTGATGGGTACCTCTGTGACCCCATATCTGGGCTTAAGGCTTGTTTCCAGTATGAGGTAGATTGACACTGCAGCAATTTAGACACAGGCCATTGATTTTTCACATCTGTTTAGACGTGTTAAATCAATCTTCAAGCACTCCCCCTTTGACTCCAGTATTCTACCAGGATAAGAGTAGCCAGAGTTGACAAGAGAGCAGCTCCCACCAACTTTAGTGCATGGAAAATGCCACGGGGTGTATGTCGACTTCAGTTATGTTATTTGCATCACTGAAATCATGTAGATTAGATTAATGGAAGGGGTGTTAGTGTAGACCAGGCCCTAGAGAGCTTTTCCATCAGTTTCAGATGGTGTTGAATCATATTGATGTCTGCTTCTTGAATAGGGTAACTCATGCTATATACTTGTCCACCCATTTTCTCTTGGGTGAGTGTGTATTTTTTTAACCTGATTTATATCATTTTAAAAATAAACAGCAATAAAATATATATTTTTTTAAAAGGACAGAGCAAGTTATTCCTTGATCACTTTCCAGATAGACCACTTTATCCTTGGGGGTTTCTGATTTGTTCACCTATTTTAGATTTTCCAAGATTGCACGTATGTCCTGTGGATGATAATTCCAAGGTCCCTCTCCACCCTGTAAAGTGAATAAATACAGAATTGTTCAGATATATTCCCTGTATAGAGGAGTCTCCAGTGGTGCATAGCTGGCATAGCCATTTCCTGCCCCACCCACCAAAGACCCTGCTGCAGGAGGAGGAGTGGTCTCAGTGTGATGCACTGTAAGTCTGCTCAGGTAGTAGATGAACTCTTGGGACCCACCCATTGCCACCTGTGCATAGCTTAGAACAGCCTGCACCAGAGCCAGCTAAATAATCATGGAGCATTAAGTGATTGCCTAATGGCTACCCTTTCTTGTGCACCAAGCAGAAACAGAACAGTAAAGAATCTGGCCTATGTCATGTACAAACTTTTAGATATATATCTGTATAGTAAATTACAAAGTAAAATACAGTTTTAACTGCTGGAAAGTTTAATGCTGAAACTTGAAAGTTAATCTAAATAAAACAGATGTAGACTCTTTTAACAGGCATGGTCTCTGGCTATCAGATAATAATTAGCACTATGTCTCAATGCTATACAAAAAAATAACTCAAACTTCAAAACACTCTTTTAGTCTAGTTGATTATTATTGTCCTCACAGTTGGTAGACTTTTATGCAGAGGTTAAGGTCAACCAACACGTTGGAGAAATAGCTGGAGTTAGAATGTAGAATTTCTTTGCTTCCAGTCCTGTGCTCAATATGCTTTCACTTTGTCTCATTACGAAAAACTGCATAAATACTGAGGCAGAGCCAGGTAATCAAAACTATACATAAATGCCAAGGCTTTTTGGTGCTAATAATTTAATGAACAATGTGGGTATAATTAATTTTAAAGTTGTTGGAAATGGAACACAGTGAAAAATGTTAATCATATACCTATCTAGTATGTGGTGGATAATACATGCTTATTTTAACAAGTTAAAACTATACTGTAATGTGCTCAGAGTTCATTACCTTATAGACAACTTTTCCTCCTTGTACCACATAAAGTCTTTCTGGCAGAGCTGCATATTTTGAACCACTTAGGTTTTCCATTGTATCTAAAACCACTGGACATAAAGGATTCTTTTTCAAAAGAAATTGTGCAGCCTTTTTTCGTTCTTGAAGGCTTTGGTGATTTTTAATAACAATGTTATTTTTAAAAGCCCATCCATCTTTAAAAGAGAAGAGAGAGGAAAGTGATTTTATATATATATATATATAATTGTGTGTGTGCACTCACCAACAATTGCATTAAAAGAACTATATTAAGGTTGCAAAGTCAAGCACTGGGAAGTTAAAAAATGCCAGAATTAGGATTGCCTGTGCAACCTTAATTCCGAAGGTTTAAGCATGTGCATTATGACATAATTTTCAATCACATAATCATATACCATTGACAGCAAAGGAGACCCATCCCATGCTCTTTATGTGCCCAAACCCACCATGGCTCTCAGCGGCTTAGAGCTGCATGTGCAGGAAAAGTCTTGAGCAGCCCCAGGTTGGAACATGCCCACTTAGAACAGATCTTCAGAAATGAAACTGCTGAAAATCTAGGAAGTCTCTAAAAGCATATGCAAATCATGATTATATGCTTAAAACGTTTGTAACATGATCAAATTTGGAGGGATTTTTCACAGAGATGGAAAAAGGCATATTCCTGACACAAAAGCTACCTGTTGCCTAATTGCAAGTCCCTGCTCCAAAGTGGGGTACTAAATCTGTCCAAAGAAAATATTACTTTTTTTTAATATGAACAAAATGTATTTTTCCCCTAGCCTTGTTCTTGCAAACAGATGAACTGTTTTTATTAAATTAAAAAAAAAAACACCACCAGCTTGAGACAGATACCTTGCATGGAAAATTTCAGCTCAAATGGACAAAAGTTTCACAAAGTTATGAGCAACTAGAAAATAGTTTATAATGGGAAGTATTGGAGAAACTCCAATAGAAATTGCTAGCAGCTCTGTGCTGTAATATTATTCACACCAATCTATATACCATATAATTTCAATAGCTATGTTAATGACATGCATATCCAAAAAAATTGCAAGCCATTTAAACTTCCAGGAAAGCAGTGTATCAAGGCCTTTGTAAAGGAGACTAGAATGGGAACTAATACTGTTCTGCCATTCACTTTGCAGTAAGTAACTTAACCCTATTTTTCATAACTAGCCACATCATTTTGGGAGGTTTCAATTTTTTGGCACCCAGCTTGAGACATATAGATGACAAGTTTCAGAGGGGCAGTTGTGTTAGTCTGATTCAGCAAAAACGAGGAGTCCCGTGGCATCTTAAAGACTAACAAATGCATTGGGACATAAGCTCCAACGAAACGAGCTGCAGCCCACAAAAGCTGAAATTCATTAGTCTTAAAGGTGCCATAGGACTCCTGATTGTTATTGCTCTTTCTGGTCCTCTAGAAACAGATTTCAGATTTCTGGAAATGTGGTATGTTACTTAGAATTTTAAACTGATTTTAAAAATTGATGGTGTGTCTCTCATCAATATACAAACAATTTCTGGCACATGCATACTGTTTTATTTTTTTAAATTCATATGGTACAAATACTATTGAAATATTTTAAATGTAAAATGTGTAGCAGACGCAAGCTTATTAAAAACTAGAGACTAAATCATTTTCAGCTGTTCCACATCTATTTAATAGACATTGAAAGGTGACACATGGATGGATAAATGGTGTGGTGTTAGCTAAAATTGTAGTGTGGACAAAGCAATACATATTCTAATTAATATATGCTAAACAGCTCAAATTAAAGCCTAAAGTTCTTCCTTTCATAGATGTTAAAGGCAGTGTTCCTTGTCTATGCTGGACTTCTAAAAACTAACGTGCTGACATCCTAGTCTAGACAAGGCTCAGGTTAGGTATGTTAATGGGTAACAGATTAACCTTAACAAGTGATGCTTATTAGGTAACAGACAGTGCTTTTTTTGTTTAAAAAAAAAAGTGCTGGTACTAGGGTTGCCAGAGGGTTTAAAAAAAATTGATAAAAATTTGTTGAGCAAAAAACACCCCCAAAAAACACCGGGGAACATTTGTTGAGCCAAAAAAAAAAAGTGCTGGGAGTAATTTAGGAGGTCAGGACTCCTTTAATTGCCACGTGTCCCAAGTGGGCTTCTGTCTGGCACAGTGTGAGTGCTCCCAGAGCTGGCTGGGGGCTGTGCCACAGGAAAGTGCGGAGTGTACCAGTGCGTAGTGTCACAAAAAAAAAGCACTGGTAACATAACCAGTAACTGACACCACTGGATCCCCACATGGGGCTGCCAGCAGCTCCGAAAGGGGACAAAAGCAACTGGGCTGGAGCAGAAAAATCAGAGGACCAAAAATGCTAGCATGTCTAAATAATAGAGTAAAAGAAGTAGTTTTAAAGGCAAAAAGGCCACCTTTAAAAGTTAGAAGTTAAATCCTATTGAATATAATAGAAAAGAACATAAACTTTGGCATGTTAACTATACAAACAAATTAGACAGCCCAAGAAGGAATTTGAAGAGCAACCAAATAACACAATTCATTAAACAGTGAAAAGTTGCCAGGACCAGATGGTATTCACCCAAGAGTTCTGAAGGAATGCAAATATGAAATTGCAGAATTACTCATTGTGGTATGTAACATATTTCTTAAATCAGCAACTATGCCAGATGATTAGAGAGTAGCTAATGTCATGCTGATTATTAAAAGGTTCCAGCTGTGATGCTGGCAATTACAGGCCATTAAGGCTAACTTCAATACCAAGCAAATTGGCTGAAATAATAGTAAAGGACAGAATTATCACACAAGTAAACATGCTACGGCTGAAATAATAGTAAAGGACAGAATTATCACAAGGAAACATGCTACATTGGAAATAAGGAAACATGGATTTTTTTTTTAAAGGGAAATCATGCCTCTCCGATCTACTAGAATTCTTTGGGAGAGTCAATAAGTATGTTGACACGGGTGAGCCAGTGGATATAATTTACCTAGACTTTCAGAAAGCCTTCAACAAGGTCACACTCCAAAGGCTCTTAAGCAAAGTAAGCAGTCATGAGATAAGAGGGAAGAGCCTCTGATGGATCAATAACTGGTTAAAATCCAGGAAACGAGGGGTAGGAATAAATTATCATTTTTTCACAAGTGTGAGGTCCCTCAAAGATCTCTACTGGGACGAGTGTTGTTCAACATATTCACAAATATTCTAGAAAAAGGGATGAACAGTCAGGTGACAAAATTTCCAGATGATACAAAATTATTCAAGATAGCTAAATCCAAAATTAACTGCAAAGTGTTGGAAAGGAATCCTACAGTGGCCAGTGCCAGATGCTTTAAAGAAAAAGAAGAGAATAAGGCAATTTTGAATGGTCCATGTTTAAACGTTACATGTAAGTATTTCAGTTGAAGATATGAAAATTCTCATGTGTAATGTTGAGCACATGTAAATCTTTTCTGGACTGGGGCCCTTGTCTTAGTCTGCAAATAAGCATATTGGAATGGGCATACTCACTCAGCGCAGCAGGCCATCTAGCCAAATATAAAACATAAACCAGATGTTAGTCCCAGAGCTGTTGGGTCCTGCCCCAACCATGATTCAAACAGAAAGATCCATATCTGTTGCATCATCACACATTTAAATGTTTTGCTGTCTGTACTGTACCTTTTGCATGAGCTTCTTCAATATAGATTATAAGGAAATCCGCTATGGAGTTAAAATCTTCAACAAGTTTGTTGAACTCATCGAATTTGAAAAGAAATGAAGGTCAGGTGCAGCTTCCAAAATTCAGGACTAAAGGCCTGTTGTCTGCAACAGACGTGAAATAATTTTTAAAGTATCATGTTAAACAGATGATGAGAAAAAGGACAGGGTTAGAGTTAAGGCCTGGGCAAAAATTTGGGCTCTGTTCTTAGCCTTGTTACACCCTTCCTGCATTATCTTGGACAAGTGACTGATCACCTGATTTTTCAAAGGTATTGAGCTCTTCTGTAAATCGGGCCATTAATTTCTCTGTACCTCAGTCTCAGTATGAAAAATAACCCCAACATTGCTCTCCTTTTCTTACTGTAGCCCTATCTGATTTATTCAGGTCCCAATCCTACAATAAGTTTTATGAAAACACTCAGACTCCTGTGTCCATGCATAGTCTCAGTGAAGTAAATGGAGCTCCATACAGGCGCAGGCATCTGCTCACATGGAGTTCATTGCAGGATCCAAGCCTTAGACCGGGGTCGGCAATCATTTTTTACCAGGAGCCATTTCACAAATTTTTGAAGTGACCCCAGGCCACACTGGAAGGGGCAGGGCCTCAAGTGGATACTTCCCTGCTTCCCCACCCACAGATCATGACTGGTCTGGAGGTGAGGGAGCATGTGAAGTCTTTGGCCCCTCCCCCCAGAGGTTCCCCCTAGGTGACCATGCCCCTGGCAGTAGGAGGAGACTTCACATGCTCCCCCTTCTGCCCCCAGGTCAATCAGGCCTTGGGGGCGGGGGAGCACACAAAGTCTCCTCCTGCCCTGCACTCCTTGCAGGGCAGAGGAAACTTCACGCACTTCTCCCTGCTCCCAGGCCCTAATTGATCTGGGGGAGGGGGAGCAGCAGGGCCTCTGTGGGCTGGATCAACCCACTTAGTGGGTTGGATCTGGCCCGCGGAGGCCCTTTTGCCCACTCCTGCCTTAGACTGTAAGCCTCTTGCGGGTGGAGGAACTCTTAATTTAGTAAATGTGTAGCAACCAAAATAATAGCCCCTCTATCTCAACTGAGGTCTCTAAACGCTACTGCAAAGCAAATTAGTATGAAGGTACTTTAAAATATTCTGCATGTTCCTTAAAGAATAAAGACCCAGATTTTCAAAGACCCAAATTTTCAAACCTGAATGCCTAAATTTAGACTTTCAAATCCATTTTTAGGCACCTAAATATTAAATTCCCACAGCTCCAGTTGGTGTTGGGGAAGTTACAAATTCTGAACATAAGTTCTTTTTTATTTATGTGCCTACATTTTGTTATAGGAGGAGCCTAGTTATAAGACAGCTAGATCTGAAAACTTTGGCTATATTTTTAATAATGCATCCTAGGCTTTCATGATTTCAATGTGATTCAGCAATCCTCTTGCCCAGGCAGAATTCTAAGTATTCATTATTACTATTTATTAAACAAAGTCTGTTCAAGCCATGGAAGTAAATATTTCCTGTCCTGCTAAGGGCCTGATTCCCCAAATGCTTATGCATGGACCTAACAAAAAACCTCTGCACAAATATTTACAGGAATACTTTCTTGTGTTTGCAGGACCTTGATTTAAAGAGTGTTCCTAATGACTTAATAACATTGGCTGTGCTTAATTTCAAAATGTGATGCTATCATTCTCCCACTTCAAAATGGTCTAATCTTGGATTAATCTCTGAATACACTGTGCATACCTTCCTCCTATGCTGTATCAATTTTGAAATTGATTGTTTGGGGTTTTTTAAAGCCCTGGTTAATATACATGGAACTAGATAATGCAGCTTAATGATTAATAATGTATGCTGCAAACATCAAAGTGGAAGACAAAGTACAAAACAGTTTTTCTCTGTCAGCATTATTTGTGTTCATTTGGAAACTAACAAACATCTTTTCTGCACTTCAGTCTGGTTAATATGCATGGGCTTTCTCCACTTGTGTGTAACAGTATACAAAATGTATTAAGTAAATAGTTCTGGTTATATTTGCCTCTTTCACCATGATAATTTATGATATTGGTTTTCAGTAGACAGATGCTCCCTCCCAATCCATGACAATAAGTAACAAATGTAATACCTGTATGCATTGGAAAACTGCATACAATTGTGCAGTTTCAAAGACAAAGATTTCTCTCTAAAACCACCAATGCATGTACATGATTGAGAAACTCCACTGTTAGGACATTTCAACACAGCAGAGCTAAAGCCGAAATAAGCTACTCAACTTCAGCTACATCAATTGCATAGCTTAAGTCAAAATAGCTTATTTTGGCTTTTGATGCTGTTTACAGAGCATTAAGTCCGAGGAAGAGCACTCTTCCTCTGACTTCCCTTACTCCTCATAAAATGAGGGTTACAGGAATCAGAGTAGGAAGTCCTCCAGCTCAACATTATTTTGACATTGTCGAAATAACTTTGTAGTGTAGACGTGAACTACATAATTTTGGAATAACATCAATTATTCTGAAATAACACTGCTGTTTAGATGTACCCTTAGAATGTGATCTATTCTTTTCTACTTAAATCCCTCTGCAGCTAGTTGCTCTTAATCTAAACTGGTTTGCAGAATCTGTAATTGGACCCTCAAATCATCACTTAGCTCCCTAATCTCCAAATAACATGTCTCAGTCAGTCTGAATACTCTATTTTATTTACTACTCTAATCATGAGGACCCAACCTATTTGGATTATTTTACTGACCTTGCATGAAGTCCAAGATATGATGTATTTCATTGCTGAAGTCTGCTACCGGGGTGTTGGGAGCATTATGTCCTTCAAATGCTTCATCTTCTAACCTTTTCCACTTCACTTTCAAAACAAAGAGTAAATATTTAAAGCTGAAGAAAGTTGGGCCCCAGTTCTCGTAGCTGAACTTTGGATTCTTGCTTATGCTGCTCTTTTGTCCTCGTTTTAGAATATGTCTTTTCATCGTTTCTGGGAATAATATCATCAGCATTTTACCAACAGCAACACACAGAGATACATACAAAAGAATCAAGGTTTTTTGTAAAATTACCCTAACTTTGAACATTGTGTCAGACGCAGACAGACTGCTTCCAAAGAAAACAGTGTAATGGAGCTGGAGCAAAGGTAAAGGAGGAGGGGAAATGAGGTTAAAGAATAGTCAATCACATGTTTGGCCAAATTCTACTCTCTCACAGTTCCACTCACTTCAGTGCATGGGATGTGACTGAGAATAAAATATGGTCCACTATACTGCGTATCTTGAAAATAAATCAGGATGTTAATTACAGCAAAGAATGTTTTACTACTATTAATTTTATTAATGCACATCTAAGACTTATTACCAAAATGTATTGCATGTATTACAAATGAGAAGACTGACTACATACTAGATACTTTTCTGGCAGCATTAACATAATAATAATTTGGGACCTATTCCTGGAAAAAAAGGACTTGCTTTATTTTATTAATTGATGTCACTGGGACCACTTGTGCTTAAAATTAAGTACAAATTCTTCATTGAGTAGTGTCCCTGTGGGTACTCCACTCAGGTCTCGGTGCATCCTCATGCAGCTGATTGGAGATTTTTGGTGAGCAGTGCCCCTCACGCTGCACCTGCACACCCAGAGTCCCTGCCGTTTGTCAAGTCTGCACGTGGTGTGAGCCCTGTCAGTTGCTTTTCTACCATCCTCACTGAAGACAGAGTCAGAGCAGTGCTCTTCTTCCTGACAGGAAAAACAACATTTCTATAGTTAGACTTTTCCTCATAGGTTAGTCAGTTAATGGTAGTTTTCAACATTAGTTTAAAAAAAAAAGAGAGAGAAGTGCCTCCGCCGCAGCTTTTTTTCTTTAACGTGCTAGGTTCTCCCAGCTTTAAAAGATGCGATTCATGTGGAGACTCAGTGCCCATTTCTGATGGCCATTTCTCCTGAGTTAAACACCTGGGAGAGACTCATGCAGCGCATAAGTGCCCGCACTGTTAGAACATGACAGCCAGAGCCAGAAAAGACCGTGAAATGCAACCACCATGGGACAAACCTGAGGAGACACAGGGACATCAAACTCTGGTATAATCCTAGCCTTCACAACCTGGGGGTTACAGTGAATGAGAAGCTGGATATGAGTCAACAGTGTGCCCTTGTAGCCAAGAAGGCTAATGGAATATTAGGTTGCATTAGGAGGAGCATTGCCAGCAGATCCAGAGATGTCATTATTCCCCTTTATTCGGCTCTGATGAGGCCACATCTGGAGTATTCTGTCCAGTTCTGGGCCCCCCAGTACAAAAAGGATGTGGACACATTGGAGAGGGTCCAGTGGAGGGCAACCAAAATGATTAGGGGGCTGGAGCATATGACCTATGAGGAGAGGCTGAGGGAGTTGGGTCTGTTTACTCTGCAAAAGCGAAGAGTGAGGGGGGATTTGATAGCAGCCTTCAACTTCCTGAAGGGAGGTTCCAAAGAGAATGGAGAAAGGCTGTTCTCAGTAGTGACAGATGGCAGAACAAGGAGCAATGGTCTCAAGTTGTGGTGGGAGAGCTCCAGGTTGGATATTAGGAAAAACTATTTCACTAGGAGGGTAGTGAAGCACTGGAATGGATTACCTAGGGAAGTAGTGGAATCTCCATCCCTAGAGGTGTTTAAGTCTCGGCTTCACAAGGCCCTGGCCGGGTTGATTTAACTGGGATTGGTCCTGCCTAGACCAGGGGGCTGGACTTGATGGCCTTCTGAGGTCTCTTCCAGCTCTATGGTTCTATGATTCCATGAACCTCCTCAGGCAAGGAGTTCCACAGGTTGACTGTGTGCTGTGCGAAGAACTTCCTTTTATTTGTTTGCAAGCAGAACGATACAAGAAATACTCCCAATTTTTTTTGTAATCTATAAAAATTGTTAAAATAGTTGTTCTCTGAGGTGCGCAGAAGCATCTGCAGAATGTCTGAGTGGGATTTTTACGTGTATATAAAGATTCGGTTGGCATGGGGTGTGTGTGTGTGTGTGTGTGTGTGTGTGTGTGTGTGTGACACACAGCTGCCCAGCACATTGTCAGACGTTGCTTGTGTATATGCACTCGACTATCCCCTTGCCGGGGGGGGGGGGGGTGGGGGGAGGAATGGTGCAAGCCGGCATACTGCTATCTGAGCCGGGTTATACATGGGATGAACCTGCTCCTGCTGGTCCCCATGCGTTGCCTCTTTAAGAGAGAGCGCGCGCGCGCGCGCGAGAGAGAGAGAGAGAGAGAGAGAGAGAGAGCAGTTGAGCGTCTGATTGGCTGGCGTCGCCAATATGGCTCTACCTATGGGGGGGAGGGGAAGGAGATAGTACCTGAGTTTCTGATTGGCTGGCTTTGCCGACAAGGCTCCTGTCTCTTTAAGGAGGGCGGGGGGAACAGTAGGGAACAGCTTTACTTAACCCAGAAAGAAACAGCGCCATCTACTGGCTACATCCCAGCATAGCTGATCTCACTTGCACCAAAGCCAATCCAAGGTCATTCCATTCGTGTCAGCGAAGATCCTCACCAGTGTAAACAAGACCAGAGTCTAGCACTCAGAGCATAGCACAGGCTGGGAGCAGGCTGAGTTAGTGGATCAGTAAGACCCTACAAACCGCCCTCTGAGCAATCTGACTCATGCCCTGCACCAACTCCCTAGTATGCCTTACACGTAGGAGTAAGGAAAATAACAATCTGGGGTGATACCCAGGTCCTCACTGCTAATGTGAGAGGAATTTTTGCGGAGACTCAGGTTGCTCCCAGGGTGACTGGCCTACTTAGCGAGAAAAAAAATCACTAGTGTATGTGATACAGGGCACCAGCGGTGAAAGTAGCTTAAAATGTCTCACAGGTACTGTCCTATTGCAAGCCGGGTCCCTGCCAGCTCTTCCAATAGCTCCCTGCCGGCTTTGGGTGCAGCTCCCGCCGCTGCTGCGCACCAAGTCGCACCCGCTCCCTTTCACCTCAGATCCTTGACAAACCGCCCCCCCCCCCCAAAAAAAAATCAAGGGAATGAACAATAGAATCTGACACGTTCCAAACAGGGCATTGCCTGTCAGTCTGGGCAGTGCTGGCTGCTGCTCGTGGCTTTGGGCAAGTCTGAAAATGCAGGGACTCCTTAGGAAGGATAGAAACGGCCCCATTAGTGTCCCCCGCAACCTGTTGAATGGTTTCTATATGTTCTGCTTAATGATCTTCTTAAATACTCCAGAAACAAATTTCCCCCTGTAAAACTCCTGTGTGGTAGCTGATGTATAAGTGCCCACCATTGTTCCATTATTTTTTTGCACCCATGTGTGGATTTTTTTTTTTTTTACGTACTAGGAAGGTTTAATTACGTTTAAGTAAACACATGTATCTGATGAAGTGGGTCTTTGCCTATGAAAGCTTATGCTCCTACACTTCAGTTAGTCTATAAGGTGCCACAGGATTCCTCGCCGCTTAAGTAAACATGTAACTGCTGAAAATTTCAGCGGTTACGTGCAGGGTGAGGGAGGCCGCTTCTGCCTGCCCCCTGCTCCCATGTGCTGCTGTCTCTGGTACAAAGGCATCAGCATGGGTGAAGAGTGGGGGCAGGCAGCTCCCTGACCCAACTTTTAAGCCAGCTGCCTGCCCGTATTGGGAGTCTGCATGTAACTGTGAGGGTCAACTGATGAGCCAAGACTCATTGGTTAACCCTGTACACAATTACACTTTCACATCCCTATTATGTACACCAAGGCATGTGCAGATGTGCACCACCAGTAGAAACACATGCTGGCGGTTGTGGGCACTCTGCTAATCAGCTGGTTGACACCTGAATCTTCCCTGGGTAGCTACCCCAATGCGCATCTTACAGGGAACACTGGTGCCTATCATGCACATGGAGTTTCACTCCAGAAAAAGTGCACATGGTACACTTTTTAATGAAGTAAAACTGACTTAACTGCGTAGGATCATTGTAGAGCAGGCTAGGATGAGAAATAAAGGCTATTATATTAATATTAATTACAATAAAAGGAAAAGAAAAATTTAACTAGCCAAAGTGGTATTAGGATAGAATGTTATGGATGAGCCTTTACTCTGTGATATGAGATCTTACCACAAACATCAGAACTGTAGTTGTACATCTCATATGCTTGTGTATAATGATGTATTGAGAGAGAAACTGCATTTTTAAAATATTTTCTGATTTTTTTTTTCATTTTAGATGTTTTAACTTTTGATCTGCTGTTCAAGATATTTCAAAGTTCTGAATACTCATTCTAGAACCTAGTGAATGAATGGCGACTGTGGATGATTTAAAATTTCAAGGTAAATTGTCAAATTACACTTGTTAATTGGGCCAAAATGTTCATGTTAAAGAAAATAAATGACCGTAATTGAGCCTTTTTAAGTGGTTGTATCCTTTGCTTTGGTTCCCTGAGAATGTGAGTTTCAGTAACGCAAGCTTACACAAATAATGTCTTTAACTGTTTCAGTCTTGCATTAGGGATGTAAGCAACTAGTCGACTATCTGATAAGCATGAGCTTATCAGATAGTCAACTAGTGTCTCGACAAGTTGCTTCTCCCACCCCTTGCTACCTCTATTAGAAGCAGCCAGGGGTGGGGAGCAGGAGCCGGTGCTGGGAGGAGCCAGTTTAAAAGCTGATTCCTGGCTCCTGCCCAGTCCCAGACGCTGCACATCTGCTGCTTAAATGTATTAAGAGCCTGTTGGCTCTTAATACATTTAAAAAGCAGAAGCACAGTGGAGTTACGGTCTGGGAGCTAAACCCACTGCAGCTCCCCCGCTTATTGACTAGTTGATGGAATTTCCATCGACTACTTGATTAAACTAAATGTAACATCCCCGTCTTGCATATTTATATATGTGCATTTAAAGCACTTAAGTGACTAAATGTGATCTTTAACTTGACTGAAAGCACTGGTTATACTGCATATTTGAAGCTGAGGCTGAGCAGAATTGGCCCTGTGGGTGCAGAGGTGGGAACATTTTCTCATAGGATCAGACACTGAAATGGGCATGGTGTCCAACTTGTTTTTAAAAGTAAAGTTATTTCTGAATTAGATATCCTCAATCCGTCAGACCGTAACTTTAAGGGCTAAGGCTGTCTAATCATAAATCTGTTCTGCATGGGTGGGTGCGTGCAGCAGTGCACAGCTCCATTTGACTGCTTGTGGATATAAAGGTCTGTCCAGTGAATCTGACTGAAGAATAGGGATCTAAGACTGTGATATTTAGTTAGCATATAGAAGGCAGACTAGATGGAGAGGAGGTACAGCGCTCCATTAACTGAAAGAACACTCAGCTTAATTAAGCCAGTTCAGGCTTTTGGGAAGCAATTCACACTGCACTAGTAACATGGACTCTAAGGCCTTGTCTACACTACAAAGTTTTGTTGACAACAGTCATCTTTTAATGACAAAACCGCATAGGTGTACATGCTACAGTGCTCCTTCCACCCACTGGAATACCCGCTGGCTTTGCTAACAATCACCTCAACGAGAGATGTAGAGCTTCTTCAGCAATGTTACATTGACAAAGTGTCAGCATAGCCCCTGTCCCTGGTTATGTTACTGTTAATGGCTTCTAGGGGGTGTCTCTCAGTGCCCATCCTTACTGGTGTTGTCAGCAGTATGAACTCTCTTGCCCTGCCTCCAGGCACACAAGCATCAATCCCTCCCCTTTTAAAGGTTTTGGAACTTTTGAAATCCCACCGCCTGTTTACTGGAATGGACAGCTCACTTTGCATGTTCCTAGCTGACCATAGCGTCTCCATGCAGCAAATACTCTCCCACATCACATCAGAGTTGTTGGTCCATTGGGAGAGGAGCCTGTGTAGTCCCAGCTCTGCTCCAGCCATAGGAATTTTGCTATGGTTTCATTCCTGTGGTATATTGGATAAAGGCTACGAATAGGACATGGATTTGTGTCATGCAAAGATAAAGGAGCTGAGGCAGGAATATCAGCAGAGAGTCAAGCCATTGTTTAGATGCTGCACCAAAGACCTGATGCTTCTATGATGACCTGAGCTCCATCCCCAGTGGCAGCCCTACTGCACTACCAAGAGCCCTGTGCATACTTTGTGCTTGGGGAGCTGAAGACTAGACTGTGGACTTAACCCTAAGGACAAAGTGGTGGTTGAGGAATTTGAGTAGGAGTACAAGATGGGACAAGTGACAGGGTCTTCCTGTACCATGGTGAGCCAGGACCTCTTTTTGACTCAGGAGGGTTCGAGCCAGTGCCAGCACTATGTCGCTGGCACACATGATGCAGGAGAGGGGAGTTGTGGTAAGTGATCATTTTTTAAGTGATGCTACTCCGTTATGAGGTACAGCCAGTGGGATTGACAGCTACTGTGGACACCAGGGCAAAGTGTGGGAGGGGCCTGGCTCTGCACCCCCAAAAGGGATGGGGCTTCAGCAGGGGCGGTCCTAGATTAGCTGCCAGCAACTGGCACCCTAGGTGAACCATGCAATTGGCACCCTCCCCTCCATACCCTTCAATGATATTGCATTTGGCACCCTAGACGACCGCCTAGTTTGCCTATATGGACGGGCCGTCCCTGCCTGTGACCAGTGTTCCTTGTCTGTGTGCTTGTGTGATCACTCGAGAAATTTAAATGCTGCCCATTTATTTTGCTCATGGATGGAAAAAATCTACACATGGAGGAAAAGATTAGAGGGAACAATGCCTGTGGCCCAATGATTCAAAAGGGCCCAAAGGTTCCACGATGGCTGGAGCCTTTAAGTCTGTGCCAGAATGCCAGGTGGTGCTTATGCCAGGAAGCGGGGTGACACCCCCCCCCGTGGGGAAGGGGAAACCCCTGCATTCCTCCGACCCCACCCCCGCGTTTCTCCTCCCCTGGGGCCTGCCCCCTGCAGCACGGGGGAAATCCCTCCCGCATGCTGCCTCTCCCAGGACTTTCCCATGCCTTCCCTGCAGCCAGGAGGGGGGTAATTGAAGGGGCAGGGTTTGGAATTTGGCATCCCATGCAACTTGGCGCCCTAGGCGGCTGCCTAGTTTGCCTATAGGCATGGGCCGCCTCTGGGCCTCAGGTGGAAGAGGTAGGGCTGGGGCAGCCAGTCCTCAGCACTGCCCAGACCACGGTGCCACCCATCTCTCCCCAACCCCCCAGAGTCCCATGAATCAAAGGGGTTTGGGACTCCAGCTGCCAATGCTGCAACTGTATCAGCAGCAGTGGCGAGAACCCCAAGTCCCTTAGAATCACTGAGCCCCAGGGCAATTTTGTCCTGTTCCTCCTCCTCCTCTCCATTGGCAGGCCTGGTTACAGCTATCCTTTGTTTTGTTATATGCTAGAAGTGGGGAAAGGAATAGAAATATACACAACTAGCTGTGTCTGTGCGTAGTTCACTTTCCCCAGTGCAACTATGCAGTGGGCAAAACACAGTGCTAATGCACACCAAGTTTTTATAAGAATCCTCCAGAGAGCTCTCAGGGAAAATTTCTTAGAGGTACTTGTTGATTCTCTGCTGAAAGTTCCTTGGCAGAGCTGCTTTAATCCTTCTCCCATTGTAGGAAACTTTCCTTCACCAATCAGGAATCTTTTGTGCAGGGACCAAAGTGGTACACAGGTAGACAGCATAGGGACCTGATCTGAAGCCTCATGCATGCAGGAGATGCATCCTTGCTTGCCCTCTGATGCTTATATCTCTCTCCTATGACCCTGCATGTAGAAAATGGTGGCAGAATTTACAATTTTGTCCCTATTAATTTGCAGCATTCCTCTTAAAAACACACCTAGACCCTTTTCCCCCATCTTCAGCACCCTTCCCCCTTCCTCCCAGGCAGATGTTTGCAGAGATGTGTGAAACATTCATATTTTACTATCATGATTTGATGGGATGGGTGCACTAAAAATCCTATTCCGGTTGATTTTCTTGTGCTTCTGCAGACATGGTCTTCAGGGGTACCGCATATACACCCACGGAGCACCTCCACCAGATAAGGAAGCTACAGGGAGGAGCAAGGATGACATGTTTTGAGAGGGGACTCCAATCCTCAGTCACTGAAAAACAAGAACACAGAGCATGGAGAGAGACTGCAAATGAAAATTGTAAGATAAGCAGGACAGGAAGAAGAGCCATGAGCAAATTTTAATGGCCCAGAAGCAGATGAGTGATGGAGGATCAAATGCAGATGATGAATTCCCTAATAGCATTGCAGGAGCTGGCGAAAAAATGGCATAAAATACAAACAGACGTCCATGGAATGATGGGACAGAAAAAACTGCATCATGGGATGTTGAGCCCACACCCACAATGCATTGTGATGCACTCTAGCTCTACCCACGTCCTAGCTGTAGAAGGTGGCAAGTAGCACAATGAAAGAGCTGCTCACAGAACAATGCTTTCTTAATGCCAGAAAGGCAAATGGGAATGTGCTCCACTAACAAAATGAGTACTGTGTGAACATGCACATGTGATGTAATTATAGCAGTTTTGGATTGTTGGCGATTGATGATGTATCCGTCTTAAAAAGAAGCTTTTTGAGTAATGAATGCCAACTATTATTTTTTAAACTTGAAAATCATCAGTTGCAATGTGCTTATTTTCAGAATTTGATGATGCAGCTAATTTGCTGGCAGGAAAACCAGATGCCACTACAATAAGTATTGATGAGGCTAGTGAAAATGCCAAGAATCAGTATGGCCTTCTGCAAGACTCTGGGAGAGAGGAGGATGATGAGTTATTGGGAACAGACTCAGACAAAACTGAGGTAACAATTGCACATTTATAATGCCTCCATCAACATGATGTATCTAAATATCCATTACAACACTTTTATCAGTAAGGAGGTGTGATGGGATGGGACGGGTCTGGGCACGGCTGAGGGCATCCGCTCAGGGCGAATCGCTCAAAGTCGGGGCTCCTTAGAGCCCCAGACTGGAGACCTTCCTAATAGGCCACAAACCAGTCACACTGAGCGCTTCAGCTGCCAATCTGACCAGCCATGAGCAAAATCCCTCCCACACCCCAGCTCTTCCTATGCCCCAATCAGCCCCAGGCCTAACACACAGGTGAGGGGTTTTAGAACCCAATCTCACCTACCCCGAATGGGTTCTTCCAGTCTCAAGAAACCAGACACAGTTCCCAGGTCAATTTACACTCTGGAACTTATCCACAAGATCACATTGAGCCAATCCTTTAGAATATAAAATCTAAAAGTTTATTATTAAAAGAGAGAAAAGCATGAGAGTAAGATTGTTAAAGGATAATACATTACATGGATCGAATCACCCAGTTCTCGATCAGGCTCTTAGCAGAGATGTTATAAACGACTATCTTAAAAGTCTCTGGTGTACATCCTATGTCAGGATGGGTCCACGGTTCTTTCCGGTTCGTTGTTCCCTGCAAGGCTGCATCTGGGATCAAGAGCTAAACTGAAGACCACCTGGAGGATGCTAAATTTCACTTATATATCCATTCGTGGTCTCTTCCAAGCTGTAGCAGGTCACTTGGTCAGGGATCTATCCTTGTTTCACATGTTTGCAGCCATTATGCCCTGGCTGGTTTGCAGGTAGCCAGACACATTCGTTCAGGTGTGTCTCTGGCACTTAGAGATCTATTGTCCATGAAGCCCCACTAATTAGCATGGCCATTGAACGAACATTCCTGGCACATAGCTCTGCCTCAGACAGAGCATTTTCCAGCATCAGCACAGAGTATGTATTTATAACTCCACATACAGATATTATACAGGTACATGAGTAGCACATACAGAATCAGTAGAACAAAAGCTTTCATTCAACGTCTCACATGACCCCCCACCCTTTGTACAGACTTTGAGCAAACTCTCCCCCGTACCCCACATGGGGCGACAGTGATCCTTAGCATCCAATAATGTGATAGGAGGAAACTTCCATGCTGGCCCTGCCAGTACTGATGGAAGTGCATATTTTAATTCCCATTTAAACCTATTTATAATAGGGGTACATATTGGGTACATCAGCTTATCTATATATTTGCCTAGTATTACAACAGGCTTCATACGAACACTAGCAAATCAGTACAAAATAAAATTTCATACAATATATTGTTTATACTATACACTGAAAAATAAATATAATAGCATTTTGAATATAAATTTATTTTATAATTACATGGTAAAAAGAGAAAGTAAGCAATTTTTCCTTAATAGTGTGCAGTGATGCTTTTCTTTTTATGTCTGATTTTGTAAGTGGGTAGCTTTTTTTTTTTTTTAATGAAGTAAAACGTGTAGGTATGCAAGGGAAATCAAACTCCTGAAAGAGGTACAGTAGTCTGGAAAGGTTGAAAGCCACTGTATTATAAGAAGCTGAGATGTTGACTTCAAGTGAGTTGATGGCAATACAGTATTGGGAGTGAGTGGCGGTATTAACACTTGTAAAGCTAGTTGAACAAGACACTAATGAATTAATGGAAATTATGTTACTTGTAAACCTCCTGACCAAAAAAGGTAGTAGGAATCATAATTTTTCGTATCTAGAATATGCATCCCCAATGGAAAATACCTTCTGCCATTAACAAACACCAGAGAAAGCATGAAATAATTATTTTACTTCCAGCTATTCTAACAATTATGTAAATATTACTAGGCTTTAAAGTAAATTGGTTGATTGTAATAATTGCTATTGAATTATCTTTCCAATCTTAAAGTTACTTGCAGGACAGAAGAAAAGTGCCCCCTTCTGGACATTTGAATACTACCAGACTTTCTTTGATGTGGATACATACCAGGTTTGTATTAGTTTTTAATATTAATATCTTACTTCATACAAAGGGAATTATACTGATTTAATAGTTTTAATGGTGGACTAATATTTATAGATGATTTATAATTATTTCATAGTGCATTTTGTTTTCAATAACATTTATATTTTTTCCTAGGTCCTAGACAGAATAAAAGGCTCAGTTTTCCCAATACCAGGGAGAAACTTTGTAAGACTATATATCCGCAGTAATCCAGATCTTTATGGTGTGTACCAATTGTAACATCAATATTTTTTAATAGCTAAATTCTTGAAGTTCGTCCTCTTGTTCAAAATTAATACATGGGTGGGGGTGTAATAGATAGATCTTGTTTAAATTGATTTGTTTCCATTTAAGGTCCCTTTTGGATATGTGCCACATTAGTCTTTGCCATTGCTATTAGTGGTAATCTTTCGAATTTCTTCATCCATCTGGGTAAATCTTCATACCAGTATGTGCCTGAGTTCAGAAAAGGTGTGTAAGTAGTTCTCATTTTCCTTTTTCCTTGTCTCATAACTTTTTTAACCAATAAAACTGTATGTAAAAGTCCAAGCTTTGCTTTATCATAATGTTTTGATAACTGTCTCTTTCCACTTCCAGAGAGATGCAAAAATAATCCATTCAAATTGCAGGTACAGTAAACTTCTGATAATCCAGCACCGTTAGGACCCAGGGGATGCCGGATTATCAAATATGCCAGACTATCAGAAGAGGGGGGGCTATGAGGGGTCTGGGGTGGGGTGGGGAGGATGCCATCCCAGACCCCTCATGGCCCCCCCTTCTGATAGTCCGGCTCTGCCCTAGGCGTCCCCGATTCAGCCGCTGCTGGTCAGTTTCAGCAGCGGCTGAATTGGGGACACCTGCAGCAGAGCAACTGGGGTGCTGGGGGGGGGCGCAGCTGGTGTGCCCCCCCCAGCAGACCAGGCTTTTGTTTTGGACCCTGGGGCAGAGCAGTTGGGGCGCTGCCGATTGGTCCTGCACCCCCAGGGGCAGCACTACAGGACCAACCCGGCAGCACACCAGCTGCTCTGCCCCCAGCTTCCCCTATTCAGCTGCTGGTCTAGTTTCAGCAGCAGCTCAATCAGGGAAACCGGGCGCAGAGCAGCTCCAATTGTCCGGCTGCCCCAGCACTTTCGGGTTCCTCATGGTGCCGGGCCATCAGGAGTGCCGGAGCATTGGATGCCGGGCCAATGGAGTTTTACTGTATATAGATATCTCTCGGGAGACCATATTCATATAAGCAGTTAAACAGAATTTCAGCAGATCATACAGTGATAATCACTTAGTCCGCTTACCTAAGGATTTGAAGTTCCTACTTCATGATGGGATACAAAACCAGTAAAGGAAGCTTAATTAGCATTTATTGCTCTATTGAATCTAAAGAGTGGGAAAGTAATTGCCTTCCCCTTGGCTCTAATTTATATTATGGAAGAGAATGCAATATCCATGAAGGAATATTTATTGGAAATGTATGACCTATTTAAAGGAGCACTGTTAATTTATAATAAATTAGTTAAAAGTAGTATCAGAAACTAATCTTTTGAGTTCCCCCTACCAGTTTTGTGGTCCTTAGTCACGTTTTTGTATTTTAAGTGAGTTTTTCTTTCCATTCTTCCCCATGCAAATGACAGATTGAGTGCCCACAGAAAATACTGAAATTGATTTCATTTTTATATAATCAAAGTAAAAACCACTGAAAGCAGAAAAATAACTTTCTTCCTATAATCTTAAGTATTAGTGGTAGGCTTAAAAAGGACATAAATGCAAAAGTTGCCATTATTCCATAAAGTAACTGTGGTTGTCCCTACTATTTTTTTGTTACGTTAGCTCTTCAGTTTTAAGAAAAAGATTAAATTAGAGATGGGGGTTTAGTAATACTAAACCTCTTTCCCGTCTCTTTACAGTGTCCATAGCTGCAACAGCCATCTACGCTTATGCTTGGCTGGTTCCTCTGGCTCTCTGGGGATTCCTTATGTGGAGAAATAGCAAAGTTATGAACATAGTCTCCTACTCGTTTCTTGAGATAGTGTGCGTCTATGGCTACTCACTCTTCATTTATATTCCAACAGCAGTAAGTATGGCCTACAGATGTATTATGAAACTTCTAAAGAGTTTTTATTAAATATGGTTGTCTGATTGAGAAACCTGCATGGTTGCATTGGCTGGTATTTGTTTTTACCTTCCAAATGAAAAGGTTAACTGGAAAGTACATGACATTCATATGTATGTCCTCTTAACTAAAGAGCCATGAGTACCCTAACTTGTTAAACTATATGACAGACTTTATTGCATATTTATACCGTTTATTTCTGTTAGTTGGAATATTAAACCTGCTCATCTGGGTGATTTTTTTCTCTCTAGTGGATGCAGACTACAGGACAGTTGGTCTCCTGAAAAAATGTCACTAGTTCAACAGATTTTACCACTTAAAGTAGAATTCTTCATTTTAGAGAATATCTCAGGGACTGGTAAATTCTTTCAAACCAGGGAAACTCTTTTAAAAGTGCTCTCGTTGTAAGCTTTATTTAGTACAATTATTTCTTTGGTTCCAGCTAGTAAACCGTGTTGTTGATGCAGCTAATGGAGAGTCTCCTCTTAGCTCAGGTGATAGAAACCATTTTATGTTTTGGTGCCAAATGAAGCGTGAATAGTGTGTGCTAAGAGTCCTGAGGAAAGGATGTGATATATAGAGCAGCAGTGCCAGAAACAGTGAATTAAATACATGTATCTTGATATTTAATAAGGCCTTTTCTCTCTCTCTTTTTTAAAAACAGATTTTGTGGATTATTCCACAAAAAATTGTACGCTGGATCTTGCTAATGTTCGCTCTCTGCCTTTCGGGCTCTGTTTTAGTAATGACATTTTGGCCTGCTGTTAGAGATGATAACCGTAGGATTGCACTGGCTACTGTGGTGACCGTTGTGTTTCTTCACGCCCTGCTTGCTATTGGTTGTTTGGTATGTTAATGTTTTTTTAAATATCTTTTTTTTTCTTTAAATCAATCCTGTACAGTAGCAGCATTGTATTAACATTAAGGGGGTTTGTAGAGCTTTTTGTTTAAGCAGATCTCTTGATAATTGCAAAAGATAAATATAAGGAAACTGTCTTGAAGAAATCTCAATACATATGATAGGCATGAATATTCAAACACAGCACAAAGATTTATGTAGCCCTCTCTCCTAGAGTTCCTACAATAAAAAGTAGCAATGACGGTTTTTATATATATATAAAAGCAAGCATAAATTGTTCCTAGATAGCAGTCTTAAGTATACCTTGCATTTATGACAGCAACATTTTAAATCATTAACCTATATCATATGCAATTAACATCTTATCCAGGTAAGCTAAAGATTCATTTAAAAAAGATTAATGTATGTTCAGTGTATACTATTTTGAACATTCTTTGTGAGTTCTGATTATGGGTAAGATACAAATCTGCTATAAACTAGCTCCAGTAGAAGAAGAGGAAAATCTAGTGCAAAGTGTAATGTAGAGAACATAATCTATTTTTTGGGCTCTCTTAGCCCACTTTTATACAAAAGCTAGAGAGGCATCATCCAAGTCTCATGTTTAATAGCTACATTCTTTGCACTACAGGTTTGAACCCAAGAAAGTCTGTTAAACCCGTTGTTCTCTATTTATTTTGGAAGGCCAATGCAAATTATACTGCATGGAGTTCATAATCCTGGCTCCGATGAAGTCAATAGGAGTTCTGCCATCGACTTCAGAGGGGCCAGGATTTCAAAGGGTCTCTGTATTGTGGGTATTTTTGTTTTCTTCTCCAACTGTAAAGTAATAATTTAATAAATTGACATACAACTTGTTCCATTCTAAAGAATATCTTAATCCTAGTTTTTAAGTGTGATTCTGTACCTTTTTATTAAGCGTCATCTACAGAAACCCTTTGAATTAACAACTTTGTGACTTTTCAAAGAGCAAAAATTTGCCTAAATGCTAAAACTGTATCCTCAATAATTATAACTTGTGAAAAGGAACATGTCAAGGCATGGAGAGAAGTGGCCTTGTTTCTAACTCATTCTTACTCCCGTCTAATAATGTAGGCATACTTTTTTGATGCTCCTGACCTTGATGTTCTTACACCTACTGTAGCTGCTCAAAATGGAACAATAACAACAAAGACTCAGTAAATAAGGTAAGAATTACAGCTGTCAAGAGATTACAAATTTTAATTAAAATTAATCTTGATTAATTGCATGATTAATCAGAGTTAACAATAGAATACAAAAAATGAAAAATATGTAACTAAATGTATTTTCAGACATTGATTTTGATTAAAATACAGAACAGAGTACAGTGCTCACTTCATATTTTATTACAAATGTTTGTACTGTAAAAATAAAAAATAGTATTTTTCAGTTCACCTCCATACACGTACTGTAGTGCAATCTCTTTATGATGAAAGTTGAAATTACAAATATAGATTTATTTTTTGTTACATAACTGCACTCAAAAGCAAAACAATGTGAAACTTGAGAACTTACAAGTCCACTGTACTATTTTTGTTCAACCAGTCACTCAAACACGTTTATGTTTGCAGGTAATAATGCTGCCCACATCTTGTTTACAATGTCACCTGAAAGTGAGAACATGTGTTTGCATGGCACAAGATATTTATATACCAGATGTGCTAAAGATTTTCATGTCCCTTCATGTCTCAGCCACCTTTCCAGAGGACATGCGTACATGCTGATGATGACTTCGGCTGGATAACTGTCTAAAGTAGTGTGGACCAACATATGTTCACTTTCATCATCTGAATCATATGCCACCAGCAGAAGGTTGACTTTTCTTTTTTGGTGGTTTGGGTTCTGTTTCCACATCAGTGTGTTGCTCTTTTAAGACTTACGAAAGCATTCTCCAGGCCTCCTCCCTTTTAGATTTTGGAAGGCACTTCAGATTCTTAAACTTTGGCATCTTCCTTGTGTTTAGTCAAATTGGCAGTGAAAGTATTTTTAAACCAAACGTGCTGGGTCATCATCCAAGACAGCTGTAACATGAAATATATGGCAGAATGCAGGTAAAACAGAGCCAGAGACATACTATTGTTCCCCAAGGAGTTCAGTCAAATGTAATTAAAAAAAAAAAAATTAAACAAGCATCAGCGTGGAAGCATGTCATCTCGAATGGTGGCTGAAGCATGAAAGGGAATACAAATGTTTAGCATATCTGACACGTATATAGCTTGCAATGCTGGCTACAAAAATTCATGTTAAAGTTTTGTTTTCGCTTTCAAGTGATGTTGTAAATAAGAAGCCAGCAGCATTATCTCCCGTAAACATAAACAAACTTGTTTGTCTTAGCAATTGGCTGAACAAGAAGTAGGACTGAGTGGACTTGTAGGCTCTATAATTTTGCATTGTTTTTGAGGGTAGTTATGTATCAAAAATTCGACATATGTAACTTGCACTTTTACAATAAAGAGATTGAGTTATGGTACTTTAATGAGATGAATTGAAATACTATTTCTATTTATCATTTTTACAAATATTCATCATAATATAAAGAGAATGCTGAACGCTTAATATTCGGTGTTGTAATTGAAATCAATATATTTGAAAATGTAGAAAAACATTCACAATATTACATAAATAGAATACTAATTGAAATTTAACAGTGTGATTAAAACTGTGATTAATCATGATTAACTCAAAAAATGCATCATGTGAGTTAACTGCAATTGATCAACAGTCGTAGTAAGAATTGATTTTTTCAGTCACCTTTTCAAGAAATCTTGCCAGTATTAGGAACACAAATCTTGCCAGTATTAGGAACACAAATGTCTGGAGCCATATTTGCTGAACCTGAGTTACTACAAGTAAGTTGGAAAGAGTCTATGTATCTTGTTAGAAATCTAAGTGTGCAACTCAGTATTCAATAATTTTCCTTCTTAATGTGTATTATGGCTATTAAAAGCATCCAAGGAAGAGTTCTTTTACCTTTTTGTGATGTTTATCCTCAGTAAATGAATACTACCAAAATATTACAAAATAAATCGATGTAATAAATATGTCTTTGGTAAGACTTTTTCCGCCACTTAAAACTGTATTTGCTGAGGAGACAGAGGTAACTAAAAGTAAATACATACTGTACACACCAAAATCTTTATATATATATATATATATATATATAGGGTTAATAAAATATCCCTGTGTTTCATTAACATTCAAGTCAGAAGATAGATTTAGACAGTTCTCTAACTTTTACATGATAGTTTTCAAAGCATCAGCTCCTGTATAGAAGGTCTAGATATTCTGGATGCTCTTTGAACATATTTCTCTCAGTATCTAAGAGAGCAATATGGACTGAATTCCACATGTGGGATGGTGTGAATTCTTGTTTCTTGATAGCCAGGGATACTAGCAAGCAAAACTACATTTGGATTCAGAATATGGGTAGAAGGCATGGGAGCTGGTCCAGGAAATGTTAAAGACCAAGTGCAGATAGGTGGGTGTGAAGCAAATAAGTACAGTATTATTATTACTTATTGGATCACCACTTGTTCTTAGACTTTTCTCATTGGCCTTTGCTGAGATTAACTGGCTGCAGGCACAACCTACCTTACCACGATTATGGATAATGAATAAACTGAAGATTTTTACATTCCTCCAAAAGGCAGTTTTCTCCTAAGTGATGAATAGAATGATACAATAGAACTCTTTTTAGATGCAGATGCACATATACTCTTTAATCTTTTACCTGTTAAGCATTTTCATATTGATAGGTGCTACTTCTGTTTTTCAGATTTAAATGCCTGTATTCCCCATCTGTACAATAATTTTATTTTAGATATTTTTTCACTGAAGAAAATGGATATTTCAAAAATGGAAAAAAGAAGGAACAGCCTATGCAGTTACATGACTTATGGACAACTACATGCTCATCAGAACACTAGTTACATGTGTATTACTGCTGATCTTATTTCTTATACAGGGGTTTTTTCTTTCTGTTCTTAATTTCTGCATACCTTGCACTCATTGCAGTGTATGTCTCAGAATAAAATGCTCCAGAGGGTGCTTTTGAATTTTAATTCTTTCAGAGGTGAATGATGTTTGTTAATGCTCGTTTTTTTTTTTTTTTTTTCCTTTTTCCTCCTAAAAAGCTTGTACAGTTTCACTTCTGTCAGTCTGTTGGGATACATGCAGTGCTCTTTTTGTGACGGTACTGCCCGGAACGGCATACCGTCACCTATTTTCCCAGCCCAGAGAAAGGAAATGGGAATTCCCCCGCATGTACTGGCACCTGTTTTCCTCGGGCTGCTTGGTTCCCAATGGAAGCCTGCTGGGGATGTAGGGCGTGTTTTTTGTTTTTTCTTCTGCTCCCAGCGTGGCACTGTGGTCCCCAGCGCAGGTTGTTGTTTTTTTTGCACAGCAGGTTTGCCCCAGAGTACTGGCACCTTTTTTTCTTACAAAAAAAGCACTGGATACACACATTTTAGATTGGTCTTGTCAGACAAAAATAACTACAAAGCAAGATGGAGGAGAGAATTTTGCTGAATTAATTACAAATCTCACTTTAAAAAATACTTATGAAATCTTAAAATGTTATTTTAAAATATCAAACATTTAATGCCGGATGTAAGGTTTCCTGTGGAATTTTTATTTGAGCCACTTGCATATATGCACTAATAGTATGCGACTGTGGAATCTGTTTTCCACAGGACCCCTGCCTCATTCAGTGAATTTAGCAACTGATTATTGGGATGGGACATCGCTGCCCCGCCCACTGCCTTGTTCATGGCATGGGGGCCTACATGCTGGCCCTGCCCCCAGTGCTCAGGCGCTGCGCGGGCAGCCTCCCATCACAGGCATTGGGCTGGGCAGGTGCCCCGCAGCAAGCAAGAAGGGGGCGGAAGCCCGCACGGCTTGATGCATGGCACAGATGAGCTACGGCATGCCGAAAGGGGGCAGGGTGAAGGGCAGGGAAAGGGAGGAGAGGAAACTCTTCCCCCCAGCCGGGGGGAGGAGGGTTGATGTGGCCCACCGGGAGCTGACAGTGTGTGATGGGGCAGGGCTGTGTGGAACTGACGGCAGGAGGGGAGACAGGGGCGGGTGATTTAAAAGAGGGAGGAAGGACTAGAGGAGAGGGGAGAAAAGCCCAGGGCAGGGCATCAAAGGAGAGGTGGATGATGCCAACTCCTAAAAGGAGGAGAGCCATTCGCGGGGCTGAAGCCATGCCACTCGACTTGCGATGGATGATGAGGAGAAACGAGAGGCTGGTAGAGTGGGGGACAGGGAGCATCACGTAATTCAGGTAGATTTTTGAAGACCTATAAATTAGCCAAATTTGAGCAATTTCACGGAGATTGCAACAAACAAAAACACATTCCTAGTACAACATGACCTCCCAGACAAATTTCAAGAAGGGGCTCCAAGACACAGAAATGTTTAAAAAAAAAAAAAAAAAGTGAAGGAGAAGTGCAGAGACAGCATTAGAAATTTGCATCTGAACAATCTGTCAAAGTTATACATTTGAGTTTATATTTTTTCAGAAAATGTAGCTTGTTTCCAATCAAACAGTGAACTCAGCAACTAGTTTTGGCTTAATTAAAAAAAAGGGGAGGATGGAAGTTGGGTAAAAATGTCAATTAAGTCAAACTGAATAAAACTTTCAGTTGATGTGGATGAGGAGAAAAGAAAAAACCCTTCAGTTTCATATTGAAAATGTTTTCAGTTCTGTTACCACACTGAAAAATCCAGTATTCATTCAACTCTATTATAAACAATTGACAGCACCCATAAATGGGTAGCAATAGGCAGCCTTGACTATAGATGATACTACCAGCTCTGCCTATAACAAACTTCAGAGGTTATTTAAAATGTAATAATCCTGTATCTAGGGTAGTTTTTGTGAGCAGCAGTATAGGTTAACTGACTAAAGATCAATTAAGGAGTTAAGAACCTTTGTGTTCTAACATCATCTACTGTCAATGTGGCTATTGACAAAGGAGGAGTGCTTAGTCCTATAGATACACATCACAAGGATGTCTCTGTTTATCTTTGGTTTTCCCCATTTCTAAAGTGGTACAGTTGTTTTGAGGGAAGTTTAATATTAAAGCTGGCAAAGTGCTAAGTATTGTTCTAGCTTGTAATGTGTGAATTACACAATTTGTCTAAATAATTCATCTTCTAATTAGCAAATGAATACCCTCACAATCCTAAATATTGTTGGATTTAAATCTGCAGTATTTTAAGTGTAAGCTACTGATAGAATGACAGTAGCTTTCCTCATGTACACTGGGATTAACTATTAGTACAGAAGAAAATATGGGTTTTCACACAATCAGTCAAAAACAATAGGTGAAGAATTGTTCAGATTTTTCTCTTTAACAGATGCTTTGCCCTAATCTGTGGTTAGCTGTTTGTTGGAACATATGGGGCACTGGTTTTAAGTGCTCTTTTCTCTTTTATTACGCTTGTTGCACACTTGAACAGAAAAATGAACGGTTATGCTGCACCTTAAAGATGCTACGTCTACACTGTTGGCTTCTTGCGCAAGAACAGCTGTTCTTGTGTAAAAACTTGCCAGGTGTCTACACTGCATGCCTGTTCTTGCGCAAGTAACTTTACAGTACAGTGGCAGAAAACAGGACTTCTGCCGGAAGAGTTATTCCTCTCCCCACGAGGAATAAGCCCTCTTGCGCAAGAGGGCAATGTAGACCGGCAACATGAATTTCTTGCGCAAGAAACCTCTATGGCTAAAATAGCCATCAGAGCTTTCTTGCGCAAGAGAGCATCCACACTGCCATAGACACTCTTGTGCAAAAGCACACGCCAGTGTGGATGCACTCTTGTGGAAGACTTATTGTGCAAGAACTCTACCCCAAAACAGAAGGCATGCGTCTAGACTGGCATGATTTTCCAGAAATGCTTTTAACGGAAAAGTTTTTTGTTAAAAGCATTTTCGGAACAGAGTGTCTAGATTGGGACGGATGCTTTTCCGCAAAAGCACTTTTTGTGGAAAAGTGTCCATGCCAATCTAGATGTGCTTTTCTGCAAAAAAAAGCCCCGATCGTGAAAATGGTGATCGGGGCTTTTTTGCAGAAAACAAATCTGAGCTGTCTACACTGGCCCTTTTGCGCAAAAATTTTGTGCAAAAGGGACTTTTGCCTGAATGGGAGCAGAATAGTATTTCCGCAAAGAGCACTGATTTCTTACAGTAGGAAGTCAGTGCTCTTGCAGAAATTCAAGCGGCCAGTGTAGACAGCTGGCAAGTTTTTCCGGAAAAGCGGCTGATTTAATGGAAAAACTGGCCAGTCTAGACACAGCCTTTTTGCGCAAGAAGCTGCCAGCGTAGACGCAGCCTAACAGCAAACGTAAATAGTATCACGAGTCCCTGCAGGCACAACGCAGCGTTCCCTGTGTCGCTGCAGCTGAAGGATTTTAAGAGCTGGCAGGCCGGCTCCCTCCCGGCTCGGCCACGGAAAAGCGGCTGATTTA